GTGGGTGCCTGTGGTCCCAGCTACTTGGGAGGTGAAAGCAGGAGACTCGCTTGCGCCCAGGCGTTGGAGGTTGCTGTGAGCTGTGATGCCATAGCTCTCTACCCAGGGGGACAGCTTGAGGCTCTGTCTCAAAAAAAAAAAAAATTGCCAAATTTAACATATTTTTAAAAATCATGTTTTCTGATTTTGTAACTAATCCACACTCAGGAAAATACAAAATGAATAAATTCACCTGCAGCCTCATCACAGCAACACAACTATAAACACTTAGGCTAGCTCATTTTGTGTCTGTCTATTCTAACCAATCCTCTGTTTTTTGTACAATTGATCTATTTACAAAAAAAAAAGAAAGAAAGAAAGAAAAAGAAAATGGGCCCAGATTGCTTTGTGGCTCATTTACGCCCAGATAAATGTGCTTCCTAATGGCCACTTGATGCTTTATTATATGGACGAACTCTGTTTCTATTATTGGCTATTATGCTTCTAGTTTTTTGTATTATAGTAACAGCTGAATAAACATCTGTTTATATCTGTTTATGCAGGTTTGCACCCATCTCTGGATTATGTGGTCTAGTTTAGTCATCCTATTGATGATAAATTCTACACTTAAATGAATTCTGATTACTTAATTCCCTCTAGTTAAATTTCAAAACATTAAAAACAAGATAAATCTATTGGGCCATTAGGGGCCTATCAATTCCTTTTATTGTCCATTGTCAATGGATTTATTGTCCATTTTCAACTCCTGTCAACACTGAACATCCATTTTCCTATAAGAAATGTCATCTACTTTTTTTCTGAGACAGAGCCTTGCTCTATAGCCTGGGCTACAGTGCACTGGCATTATTATAGCTCGCTGCACCCTCAAATTCCTGTGGGCTCAAACAATCTTCCTGTCTCATCCTCCTAAGCACCTGGGACTACAGGTATGTATCACCATGCTTGGCTAATTTTTTTTTTTTAATTTTTTGTAGAGATGAGTTCTTGCTATCCTGCTCAAGCTGGTCTTGAACTCCTAGCCGCAAGCAATCCACCTTGCCTCAGCTCCCAAAGTGCTGGGATTACAGGTGTGAACCACTATGCCCAGCCTTCTTATTTATAAGATTTTTAAGTGTTATTTAGATTGGGGAGACCATTGGCTTTATCAAATACTGTGAATTTGTCACCTGGGGCACTACAATATTATGGGGGGGAGCATCCATAGTACTTTTCTATAGCTTTTGCACATAGTAATATGTATTAAATTTTTCTCTTTATGATCCCCTCCCTTGATAATTGCTTAGGGCTCCTCAGCCAATATAATTATCTATACATATGTTCAATAAAGAACATAACCTTGGAATTTAGTTTGTTACTCATCTCAGATACCAACTCATAAAAAACTTTCTCAAAGATCTAACCAAATGTCCCAGAACTATTCATCAATAGAGTAGACTGTCTCTATGGATAGGAAATATCATATTTACCAGATGAAACTTCTCATATACTTGAATTTTCATCAGGCTGTGATGTCTTGTTCCCCCCTAGTGATCTATACATGTTTGAAATAGTACTTAAATTTTAATTATGTAGCTCTGTAATATATTTTGAGACAATAATTCAAAGCTCCAATAATTTTCCCACATTAACCTTAGAAACGCTTTATCACCTTTTGAAAAATTTATTACAATTATATCTAGTTACCACAGTACTAATCAAATTAATTCTGGGAAATTCAAATGTTTACAATATTGATTTCCTCAGCATTATAATTATCCTATATTTCATACTTTTATGGTAGAATTTAAAATATGCTATTGTTAAAATAATTCCCCAAGATATGTATAAATACTGGTTTCTTTTTTTTTCATTTATGAGTTTTATTTTTTTTAATTTTTTTAAATTAAATCATAGCTGAGTACATTAATACTATCATGGGGTACAGAGTGCTGTTTCTATATATAATTTGAAATACTTTCATCCAACTGTTTAACATAGCCTTCATGTCATTTTCTTAGTATTGTGTTCAGACATTTATTATATTCTACATTTAGAGAGATTCACATGTACCCTTATAAGATGAACCATAGGCGTAATCCTACCAATCACCCCCCCTCCACCCATCCTCCCCCCTCCCCTTCTCTCCCCTCCCTCTCCCTTTTCCCCATATTCTTGGGCTAAAATTGGGTTATAGTTTTCCTATAAATACTGGATTCTTAAGTCTGTCCTAACAAACAGTAAGAAACTGGACAAACTGAAAAATAAACTGTCGTTAGATCTGTTGGAACAGTGATGACACAGAGCAAACTGCTGCCCCCAAATTGGAGACAGACAGGCAGGTGCAGCGAATCACAACTCAGAGCAGCAGAAACCAGTAATGGGGTGGGACAATCCACAGTGTAACTGAGGACTTGCCGGAGGTGCAGTGTGGGCAAGTCTGAGGAGGATGTAGTCACGGGGGGCAGGGAGGCACTTTTACCTTCAGAAACTCTACTAGAAATTCTCATGGTGAATTTGTAACAAA